TTTTGCCCCTGTATATATATACGTACAGTGTTAATACGTAATAGGTTCCTGTTTCTTCGTTCATGCAGTTTGGCAGTTTCTATTTTACGCTTTTCATCATCAATCCAATTCCGAGAGTTACGTTTATGTTTTGCGTGCTCGTTGCAAGGATTTCATCCTTGTTGTTGGTGCCAGGGTTTCATCCTTGTTGTTGGTGTCTGGTTCTGTGGTTTGCGAGTGAAGACGACGAAGAGGAGGGTGTTCGGTTGTTACATTTGCCGGATTATAACTACTTCAAATCAGTTTTTTTCAACTTTCTGTACGATTGTAGGATTGCATGATCAAGGTTAGTATCAATTTGGTTATGAATACATGTTCAGTTTATGGTTTCATTCGTGTAATGGATCAGATGCTCTGTTTTTGGATTTATATGGATTGAATGCTCTGTTTTTTCAATTATATGCATTTTACGTGGTTATGTGGAGGGGAGTTCATTCGTATTATGTGAAGATTGTGTAGTTCTCATTTGACTTCGATGCATGCGTAATGAGGCTCTGTGTGGATGATTTGATTATCAGTATATATATCAATGTCAATCTGCACATTTTGTGAATGTGGAATATGTGAAGAATGTGGATGTTCTCATTTTAAATTGATATTTGGTTAATGAGGCTCTGTGAAGATTGTTCACATCTGTGAAGATTGTTAATGTTCGCATTTTACTTTGATGCTTGCTTAATGTTAACATCTTGTTAATATCAATGTGAATGTTTACATCATCATAAACTGATGTGAATGTTCACATCATTACACACTGATGTGAATGTTTACATCATCATACACTGATGTGAATGTTCACATCATTATATTATGTGAAGATTGTTGATGTTGTCATTGGACTTTGATGTTTGCTTAATGTTGACATCTTGTTAATAGTAATGTCAATGTTCACATCTTCATATTGTGAATTATGGATTTAGCAGTTGAAATGTACACGTAGTCATCTATTTTTTGCACAATGTGAATTTTCATATACACTGATGTGAATGTTTACATCATCATACACTGATGTGAATGTTCACATCATTATAATCTCAACCATTAAAAACAACTGTAAGACATTTTCAAAAACCCTTGTGGTTTATTATATAAATAAGTGGATTTTCATTTTTGTTTTGTGGCCTGTTGAAATATTTAATCCACTTTGAAATCAACCATCAAAAGTATTCCTATGCAATAACAACTTTATTGCATCAACAAAGAAGCCATCCTAAAGGGCTTTGGATCAAGAGCTGGCGGGGAGGGGAAGAGTATGCAAATGTGAGAGAGTGAAAGAGGTTTGTATATGTATGTATATACAACTATTTATAACAATTGCAAAAACTAAAGTCATCAAACACAAATAAAAAGTTCAATTTCAGGTTCTCATCACATTAAATCTTAACTCTTAAACATGATTTCAGAAGTTCAACCTTTAGCCTCTAAACACTTAATAGAGCATTTAGAAAAATTGATTCAACAAATATAATTAATTTCCAGCCAATACAAAAATTTATGAACATAAAATTTAGCATGTAACCTAAATATTAACAATCCAGTTCATACTGATATTTTTGCCAACGTACATTTGTAATCATTTTAACTTATATCTCATCTTTTAAACTAAATCAAATCCATTAATTCAATTGCAAACCATTTCCCGCTACGTATCCTCCATATCTTTCCCTCACTGTTCTAGTAACTTGTTTGCACTTTTTTTCTCCCTATACTTCCATTTCCCGTCATCCCACAACCTCATTGCGCAACCACACACCCTCTTTTCACTTTTTTCTTAAGTTCTCTCTCACCCATGACATACCAATGCCATGAAAATGCATTTTCAAAAGTAGACCAACTAATATACTTTAAACAAAAGTAGCTCTTTGAATTGACGCTTAAGGTGTTCAAATTTGGATTGAAGTTTTTTCATAGTCATGCTCAATCTAATTTTAAGATGTTTATATTATCCAAAATAACTTGCGCAAGATAAAAGCTCAATGTAGTTTCGTTATCATGAAAGAGCAAAATATGAACAATTTATCAAATAAAGTAGTACTCAAGATGTAAAAAATGTATTTATGTGATAAAACATAACAATTGCTCCAATTATAGACTGAGTATCAAACAGAGAAGCTGCATTTTGAAAGAAAAAAATAACATGAAGATGAGGTTTTTTCGTGCCTTATGCTAGTGACCATAGAAATTGAATGTCAACCGCAAACTAAATTGATCTAGACGTAAATCGTATTGCACAACCACCACCCTCACTGTATTCCCCTATGAGAATATCATTTTAAATTTAGATAGGAATTTAAAAAGGAAAAAGAAAAGATGAGGGAAATATAAAGTTATTATGATTCAAACACAACCTTACATACATAAGCAAAAATTATTTTTGTTGACGAAATGATACCAATACATGTTTTATAGAAGGGCCAATTTGAGAGAGAGAATAGACAAATGCATGCTCTTTACAACTATCGATTAGTAAGCAAATTGATACGTATACAGTTCCCCTAATAAACCAATTAATTGAGAGAGAGAATAGATAAATGCATGCTCTTTAATTATAATTCATAACTACACAACCGAGTGTGTAATAGGCCTGTGAAACTGGGCAAAACTTTGTCAAGCCAAAATATTATTTCTGCTACTATACCCATTGGCAATATAAACTTAGGCTTTTGCTTAATGTTACCCCCAAGCCAAAAATATTATTTCTGCCATTATTCCCATTGGCAATATAAACTTAGGTTTTGCTTAATGTTGCCCCCAAGCCAAAATATTGGTTTTGCCACTAAACCCATTGGCAATCTAATTTAATTATGAGGCTAGGCTTAATTGTTCTAATGCTATGCCCTGAAACCATAATGTTGAAACAATAATAGAAATATAAAATTAAAAAATATTGTTCTAATGCTATGTCCTGTGAAGACTAATATATTGAAAGCATAATAGAGATATAAAATTAGAATAAACAGCACCAAGAACAAAGAGACTATCATTATATTTAGGGACCAAGTTTAAAACATTAACCAGCTTTTAGGAAGAGTTGTCTCAGTTTACGAGTGATGCTACATTCCCTCCTAGCAAAGGAACAATAAGGAGGATGTGCTCCTAGTAGTGCTTGATCTACCCACTTGGCATCTATTGGGTTACTAAGTGGAGTAAATGATCCTTGACAAAATCATTGAATCCAAAAATCAACTCAATAGAAAGGATAACAAACTGAGTGAATATTAAATTAAACTGAGTGAATATTATATTGTGTTGTGTCCTATACATGGCATGTTATGTTGTATGGTAGGATAACAAACTGAGTGAATATTAAATTAAACTGAGTGAATATTATATTGTGTTGTGTCCTATACATGGCATGTTATGTTGTATGGTAGGATAACAAACTGAGTGAATATTAAATTAAACTGAGTGAATATTATATTGTGTTGTGTCCTATACATGGCATGTTATGTTGTATGGTAGGATAACAAACTGAGTGAATATTAAATTAAACTGAGTGAATATTATATACCCATGTCTACACCTTTTGATTCAAATTGCAATAAACATAAAATTACTAAACCATGTGGACAAAGGAGAACTACTCATCTTAAATTGATAACAGATTGTGAAACTTTCACGCAAGCAATAACCAATGCATCTATCTTTCATTGAAGACTCGGAACACTTTTCCTTTTTGAATCAAACACAAAAGTATCTGAAAAATATAGAATAAAAAATCAATTTGAACCCTATGAAACCCAAGAAAATTGCCCTTTTTTTCAAAGAGTAGTGAAATTTATTTGGATTTATGCATGTAGCATTTGCCATAATCATTATTTTTTGCACTCACTACCTAATTATAAAGCACACAATAATTACACATCATCCAAAACCTAATAAAAAAAGAAAGGAACATTAATTTTTTACAAAAATTCAATAGTACTCATTTTGGAGGAAGAGAAGCATGACAATCAACACCCTTGATTTGTGCCCTGTTATGCAGAAGAAAAAATCAAATTTGCATGTGTTATGTTTCTGCCCTGTTATGCCATTTTGTGGCTTTTTTTTTTTTAATGATTCTTGAGCATGTGTTTGACACCAAACGCCCCCAACACAGATTTATAATTAAAAATCATATTTAACACCATCAATAGATACAATAGCTCTGGAAAAAGAAAAAAAAAGAAAAAAAACTCAAATAGCATTAACAGTATACTTCATAACAAAAAATTAAAATCCCTTCACTGAACAATAACCAAAAAACTCAAAATTAGTCATCAAAATAAAATAGAAAAAAATTAATGATACCAGCAACAATGAATCTATGACAGATTGAAAGAAACTGACCATATTTATAGTGATGCATCTAAAAGTAACAAATAATAGACACACAATACAACAAAAAATAAAAGCTAATCGAGAAAGTAGGTATAAATGGAGAGAGAAGACAATTGAGATGGTTTCTTTCCTTACAATGGTTACTCTTTTTCTTAGGCAATAATTAAAATAAACACAATAGAAAACACAATAATCAAGCTAGTTATCAACAATACAAAAAATAATTATTATAAACTCAAGGATACATCAGTAGCTCTACAACAATCTCCAAAATCCCAAAGTTAGTTTCACAATAAATCTAAAACAATATATCTACACAATGCTGATAATAAATGTAAAAATAAATAAATTAGAAACGCACAGGGCAAACACATTATGTGGAACCACAACTCATAACCAAAACAAAAAATTTCAATTAAATGGAACTCAATAAATTAGATCGTTACCTCTATAACGCAATGGGTTCTACAGTAGGTTGAGTCCAAAAGAGGAATAGTTGACCCTCATATCTAACTAAGGGGAGAAAGGGAGTGTTTTTCTGCCTGAATATATGATCATACCCGTAAGGAGAGAACGCATATAACAATAATAATATATATATAAAAAAAGAGCAGGTAGTTGCTAGAAATAATTCCAAAGAACTATTTACCTGTTTCCCTGACCTCTGATATATATCCAAAGCCTTAAGAGCATCATGCCGTTGCATTTCAAAGAACTGTCACATTGCATGTTATCAAATATCCATGATTTGCTGAAAACAAAACTACTCATTCAAAAATCCAAAGCCACATTCTACCTTGTCGACCAAATTTACGACACCATCACTGATAGCATTGTAGATTTTAATGCTTTCAGAAGCAACCTGCTGAAAAAAGTAAGGACAGTCAGGTCAAAAGAATTCTATTTGAAAAGTTACTTCAATAACACTCCGTTGGGATCGTGGGTGAGAAAGACAGGAAATGATTGTGTTTTCTTATTATCATACTTAGATGGGTATGAAGGCAATGCATGTGCGATGGATATGAAAAGACTTATTTTTCTTCCTTGGAATTTTAATGGGCAATCTCACTATTATAAATTTTTTATAACTAATCAGCTTGTTTCTCACCAATCTCACTCACCACTTTTGATGAGAAATAAAATAGGCAAAATAAGAGAGTTCTCACTCTCATCATTTCTTATCATTTCTCACCAAATCACCCCATCCAAACAGAATGCAAATCCATGGACAAAGCAGGGGGAAAATTTATAAACTCCACTCACCATAGAGAGTGCTAATTGAATCACAAAATTATGAACCGTTGCTCCTGTGGCTGCCCAAAAGTTTCATTAAGAGGCCATATTTGAAAGCTAGACAGCATTATGTTTGATTCAGTTGAGTGAAGCAAAAAAAAGTTACCTGGCAACCAAGAACACGAAATAGAAGCTACTGCAATGCTGGCAACTGCTCAAGCAATTCCGAAGTGTCCAAACCTTTAGTTCTCTGCACCACAATTTACATAATAATATTCTAAGTGACCAAATCTTTATTTCAGTTAGATCAAAAAAATATTTGAAAAATAAAATCAATCAAAATTTGAGTGTTCACATAACACTTTTCTGGCTGCAACAGAAACAGAACCCCTCAAAAAAGATTGAAGTTCCAAATGCAATTTCAAAGGTGCCATATTTAAATGAAATTATAAAACCAAATTTATGTTGTCAAAGCAAAATTTTGAAAAATGCAAATGGCAAATGGATGGCCAGCAAAAAGTACAATTTCTTACAGGGCGCTCACTCTCAACATCATATTTCAATACACTGAAGGAAGAAAATCTAACCTGTTGAAACCTGAAATTTAAGAAAATCTGAAATTGACTGTTGTAATAGGTTGAAATCTGAAAATATGAAAATGAAGAAAATCTGAAAATCTGAAATTGAAGAAAATCTGAAAATCCTCTGCACTGCTCCTCACACAATCCCCGCTCAACACCTTCGCCGGAGGCCCAAAAAACACCATTGTCGCAGCATTAAAAAGGCTGAAAAAAGCACACGAAACACCCATCTCTGCCGCAAGTCCCGACAGCCAGTGAGAGGCGTAATCAGAGATAATCCAATCTGGGTTCGGGCTAATTTTCTCGAGAAAATCCGAGAGTGGTTGTTTAAGAAAATCGAAGGCGATTTTGAGGAGCTGAGCTTGGTGGTGTGGTGCGTCCATGGAGGATTCGGCGTTGGGTGGTAAGTTGAGGATGGCGGGGAAGGGGAGGGGGATGAAGGTGATGAGAGGGGAGAGGCGGAGAGGGATTTGGGGGAGGTGGCGGAGGTTTCCGTTGGTGGAGATGAAAGAGATGCGGTGGCCCTTGGTGGCTAAGGTAGTGGAGAGGTGGAGGAATGGGATGAGGTGACCCATGGCTAACCACGGGAACATGACTATGTGAAGAACTTCTTCTTCATCATTAATATCAACTCTGTTTTCCATTTGAGGATAGGGAAAATGGAGGACTTAAGAAGATGTTGGGTTTTCCCTTATGAGATTTTGATGAGAAGTGAAAACCCAATAAGTATATTGAGCATTAGAGAGAGAAATGGACCTGATTCGAGGAGATCTTCAGTGTAATCGTTGCCCCAATTCGTTCGATCGATGCTTTGTCTGTGGCTTTCCACTGTAGAGAGAGAGAGAGAGAGAGATGGGTTTGAAGAGAGAAACAGTGAAATGGGTTTGAAGAGAGAGACGACGAAAAGGCTGAAATGTGTTTGAAATGGGTTTCAAAATTGAAGGGTATATCCAACGGTGAAGAGAAACACTGAAATGGGTTTGAAGAGAGAGACGACGAAAAGGCTGAAATGTGTTTGAAATATATATCCAACGGTAAAGGTAAAA